TAACCCACTACTCTAATAGTAACCCACCCTAAAAAAACAACGAATAGTAACCCAGGGTTACTATCAGAAGTTTTACGGTATATGTAATGTATTATTTTGCAGGCTTGTGGCAATTGGGCTGAGACATTGGATGGAAAATATTTGACTGTGACAGCCGCTGGGTACGTGGAAAAAGCATTATCATGTGGGTACACGGGGTTGGTGATGTTGCATGGGATTTTGAATAGGTCAAGCGTGGAAACAGCCTGGAAACCAACTTTACTAGCCAACTATCACCCTAGTTACTATGGGATGATGGTTGCTTCGTTTGAATATCCCGACATCGTGCTGTATAGTTAAATACAAGTATTTATAACGATCATGATGACAAAAATATTTGTATTTTATTAAATAAAAATACATCTAGTTCTACAAAGCCTTGATTGTACTAAAAATAACAGAAGTTTGTGTGCACATTCGATCTTCACTATCTGTGGCTGTCTTTAGGTCTAACTTAAAGACTTAGTCTTTAATCAAGTCTTCATTCGTTATTGCTTATCTTTTTAATAATTGTTGCATTATTTATTAATGAATCCGAACTTTGCCACTGCTTCTTTTGATTCGTTTACTTGTTCTGTGCTTGGGTTTGCCATTGATCATGACTGCCTGTGGGTTGTGAGGTGCTTAAGTATGTGAGGTGCAGCGCTTCGTATCTGAAAAGAAAGGTTATTTAATAATGATTTGGATTGGATTGAGGCAGAAATTGCATTTTCGGCATTTGGATCAATATTTTGTTACAATAGATATAAAAGTAAGAGGACGGCAAGTGCCGTTTACAAAGTCTTTCCTTACCCCTACTGACTTAATTACCTTTTTCGGGGGTGAGAGAGTAGACCTACGTCGCATGCATGCCCAGAGTAAAAACGTGCCCCAATATTGGTTGACGTTGCCTCTCGGGGGAATTTTGAACAAGTAATATTTAATATTCAAAAACTGATCAACTAAGAATGATACTTTCTAGAAGTTTAACCAAGTTACAAGGAAGACATTATTAAATTTTGGTGACGGATTCGGGTGTAAATTTGATGGTCAATTAAAATTCTAATATCGCAAACCCAAATATCTCGAAAAACTTACCAATAGATTTAAATAAAACTTTTGAGAATTGTTTGTCATGGTCCAATACAGAAATAAGTAAATTTTGGTGACGATTCGAAGCAGGATGTGGATCATTCAAATGAAAACCTCCCAGACCATACTGTATACAAAAAACTGGTCGACTGATCTGAAAAAAAAAATTCGGGAAGTTTATAAGATCTGTGGTTTAACCAACTTAAAAGAAATAAACACAACAACAAGCAACATCACTCTCAACAATCTAAACATTCTATTAATGTTCTACTCCAGTAGAATTACTCTTTTCTTCTCACCTGGTTGGGATCAATAAGTCTTTAGGATCACGCAAAAACACATTTTGACGGGTACTCTGTATTGTAGTGAAGTTGAGTTTATTTGAGTATAATACGTAGGCCTATCCATTTGACACTAAAATAATTAAACGCCTCCCTTGAATAATGCCTCGAATAAACGACCTTTCATAAACTTCTCAACAATAAACACCCCGAGGCGTTTATTCGAATAAATATGGCATTTCTTGTATATTGTGAATTTGTATTCTTTTCTATTTTATTGTAATGCCCTTTGAACATATTTTAATGGAAATTGTGCAATATAAATTACATAAATTTAGTATTTTTTAATAACTGTCTTGGATCAATTATTCATGAGTCGTGGTAATAGGTCTGTGTTGTTGTCAACAGTGGCGTGAATGCCTGGGTCCCGGATTCGCAGCCAAAAGGGCCCGAGCTCTTTTGCTACTACCCAGTACAGTAATATAGAGTCTTGACTGATCTTTTCAACCATGAAATTAGGTAGTCAGATTACTCAACTCACTAAGTCATGGTTAGCAAAATACAGTAGGGTCCCCTACTTGTGCATATTATTCTAAAACAATCAGAGCACGATGCCATTGAGGGCGACACCAGTTGTGTCACATGATCGATCAGTTGTTGTCACATGATCGATCAGGCGTATCCTGATGTTTACGTCCGAGAGTCTTCTACGTAATGAGAAGTACTTTTAATTTCACAGTAATGGGAAATTTAGCAGGTCTAATATTTGCACTCGCTTCGCTAGCCGTGTCTTCTACCCTTGCAACCTCATCTAGGCCACATGTTATACTGATTTTAGCTGACGACTACGGGTTTCATGACATCGGTTATCACGGTTCGAAAATCAAAACACCGGTTTTAGATAAGTTGGCTGGTGAGGGTGTGAAGTTGGAGAAATATTATGTCCAGCCGATATGCACCCCAACGAGGAGTCAACTTATGACGGGCAGATATCAGGTTTGTTGCTTTTTTTTTTACTTCAGATACAAACCAAGACTAGAAAGGCAAATAACAGGCCTAGTGATACTGAAAGTGACGTTTCTAGAATCAGGATTGTTTTACTTTTAACTACATGCTTATTTTTTAGGCCTATATGTAATACATTTTCAGTTTGGTCTGCCAAAACCATGGGCTTTTGGTGTCTATAGAATCCCTGTAATTAAAAACCGGCACTCAACAAGGGTCCCAATTTGGAAGAATCCATATCCGGGAGATCTGCTTAAATGAGTTTTCTTAAGACATCTAAATATATTTTGCTGTGCATGGTGATAACCATTATGATTGGCACTAACTGCTATGAGACAATTGATAATTTAAGAACTTGTAAAAGCATATAAATAGCATCATGAATTTGCGGGAGATGGTTTATTTCGGGAGATTCTTGCCTAGTGCGGGAGCCTTCCTGCGAATTTCCAGGCGACTCCATTCCGGGACTCTACAGGAGGCTTGGGACTCATGGGCACTAAATGTGGTCTTTAGATTTCTCTATAAATGTTTTAAAATGGATGTACGGTACTGCATGCTGTTATTTATTCTTAATTAAACATTTCTTGGTAGCCAGACATCAACTCGTCTTTCCATTAAAGTACTATCGTTGTCTTTTTAATGTATATATATATATACTGTCTCTTATACACATCTAGATGTGTATAAGAGACAGGTTATAGATAATACATATGTCAGAT